TTCCAAAGCTTCAGTAAGTTTTCATATACATTAGGAAAAGAATCTCCCTACCCTCTCACCTTGTTTTTCTGAAGTGTCTCGAGTAATTCAGAGTTTTCTCAAAGGATTTACAAGTTTTTGTTACATATTTTTTTCCAGCGTGCTTTTTTTTTTTTGGTAACTTTTATATTAATATATTTTAGTTAGTTTTATGGGGTTGAATAAAAATGACAAGTTTGAGCTTCCTAAAAAGAGTCTAAACTGCATTGTCTCTTCAGACTCTTCTTACTTGACTGTCTATGGTCACTAGGACCTTTCCCTGAACAAGAGTAACCACTCATTTATTTATTTATTTATTTATTTATTTATTTTTGGTTTTGGGGCCACACTGGCAGTGCTCAGCATTTACTCCTGGCTCTGGGTCAAGAATCACTTCTGATGGGCCTCAAGTGACCAGATGGAATTCGAGATCAAGCTTGCACTTGCAACATTCAAGGCAAGCACCTTTCCTGCTGTTCTCTCTCTCTCTTTCTCTCTCTCTCTCTCTCTCTCTCTCTCTCTCCCTCTCTCTCTCTCCCTCTCTCTCTCCCTCACTTTAACCTGCTTTTCTGGCAACAATTTTTCTAAGAATGTTCCTAAGCTTGGACTGTTCTCACTGCCTACTTTCCTATCACTATTTGAACCCTTTCACTTCTTCGCTCTTTTCCTAGCATCAGTACAACAGCTGCATTGCTATATGTGTGTTGACCATGTCACAGCTTCTGATATAAAATTAGTAGATGGTGCTGGAGAGATAGTACATGGGCTTGGGCCCTGACTTACATGTGGCTGAGACCTAAGTTTGATCCCCAGCATCCTGCATATCGACCACAGACTACCACAAACAGTAATACTTGAGTGCAGAGCCAGGAGTACTGTTGGGCGTGGCCCCCAGACAAATAAAACTCCCAAACAAGCAAACAAAAGAAATTAGCATTTGGTACCTAAATAATTATGTTGTTATCTTTTCACCTCCCAACCTTGTGATATACATGACAGTAAAAGAAAAGGGATCCCAGCACTCTTTCCAAAAGAGCAAGCCAATCCTTCTGGACAGAATGCTTCACTAGGAACTAACTGGCAGCAGAAAGCAAGTTGAACTGCAGCCCTGAGACAACTGAAGATGAAAGTGCAATCAAGTGCGTGCATACTCGCTAAGAGGAGGCCCTGCGTTTCATTCCTCTCCACCAGGGGAGTCCCTCAAGCACCTCTGAAAGAGCAAGTCTCAGCCCAACACAGAACAGGGCAGCCCCCATGGGACACTGGCTGTGGCCTCCAAACAAAGGAAACCCAAACTCAAAGTATCCCTCATACAAAAGATAGAGTCTCAATTCCTTCATTTATTCTTCCAAACTAAAAAAACATCTCCTACTCTCTGTGCCACTTTAAACACGTTATTGCCTAGAAACCATCATCATCATCATATTTTATAATGGAATAAAAAACTTGCTTCGTGTCCCAATGAAAGGGTAGCTTTTACTTAGCAGGGCTTTCTGCGTTTTATCTTTTGTGGGGCTCACATTCAGCAGTTCTCTGGGGACATGCCTGGCTCTGATCTCTGGAACCATGGCAGTCTGTGTGTAGGGAATCAGATGAGATGCTGGGGCGCAAATAGGAGTTAGCTGCATGCAAGGCGAGTACCTTACTCCGTGCACTATTTCTCCAGCCTTTTTTTTTTTTTTTTGGTATTTGAGTTATTTATAATTCTGCGACTGGTTGGTAATTCATTGCAATGAAAATGATTTCTGGGCATGCAAATCAATTTTGTCTAAGGCAGTTCAATTAATTTCCTTCCTTCCCTAGTTTTCTATCTACTTAAGTTATTTCAGTATTCTTGACTACCTATGTAGTATGGTTATCTGGACCTTAAGGTCAGTTGCAACATTGCGTTCATCCTCATTAAATAATTAAGGAAATTTAGCTCACGTGTTTTTAGTTTATTTTATACTTATGAGTCATGCTTTTATAATTTTCCTTTCTTTACAAAGTATCTTTTAATACATCTCTCCTCTGTTCATTATGACCTTCCAACTTTGATTATATCTAATATGGAATGCCTCCTTTGGCTCATTTTACTTAACACTACCAATTTCTTCACAACTCACAGATGAATTTAACCTTATGTCCTCAAACTACAAAAACCAAATCTTCTCATGATGAAATTAGAATGCAATGATGTAAATTATTTTATTATTTTAAAATATTTTTATTCATTTTCGACTGATAAGATGGATTTTCTGTTTCATTCTTGGGCTACAGTGTTTTCTTGCTTTTACTCTTACATTTTAAATTTGTTTATATGTAAATAGATCTCCTCAATTAAAGCACAGCTTCTTGAGAAAACTGATAACAAAACTTTTCTTTTTCTTCATATTGGTGTCATACATACCTTCTATAAAGCCCAATAGACATCCAATCTGAGTCCTATCCATAGGACATGAACTGATGATGCTTTTTGTCAAGATTCATTTTCCAGGTAATCACTTAGCTTCATTTTGAAACTAACTTACTTTACCTTGGCTGATAGTATTTTTCCCAATAAAATTCACACTAAATTTTAATGAAGTTCATTAGAATTTTTCTGAATGTATACTACTAATCAGACAGATCAAAGGAAAAAATATAAATTGATTTGCTTCTGTGACTAGGTTTTTACCTCAATTATTTAGCTAGCTAATATGTATTAATATTCCTAAGAACATTAGATGAGGGTCACAAACATTCAGTTCTACATTCATTCTTTCATTCTACAAATGTTTCCTGATTATCCACTACATATCAAGAATTTCTTAAAGATCCTGAAAATATATTTGCATATAATTTCTAAATCAAGAAACTTAGATAATAAAGGAGAGAGGAAAAAAGGTGAAGAGGAAAATTGAATTTAAGATTGTGAAAATGAATTTATGATTTTGACCTAAATATATAGTGACATATTTGGTAACTAGCCAAGTCATTTTTCTAATTATTATAGAAAACAATATTTTCAACTATCATAACTACTAAATTTTAAAACCAATATATTATTAGAATTCCTAATGAAACAATACACCGTTTGAAGTTTTGCATCACCAAAATATAAAACTCTATGTAGTCAATCCCATGATTACGCTTAATGTCAACCCAACAAATGTAGACCACCAACACTTTTCTATGGTTTAAGTGTTGAGTTGTGAATGAATAAAAGATGATCTTAAGATTGCTTTCAGCATATTTAATTTTATGAACTATAAAATACTTTACCAGTTGAACAGTCTACCAAGTATATTAAATCTGCTTCTTATAATACCATAAGAAGTCAAAGGCCTTTATAATATTTGAGCACTAAAATTATTACTAAGCATTTAAGGTTTTATGGCTTTACTGACTATAATTATTTCAAATTAAAACCATTTTGAGAAAAGTTGTTGGAGGAAAAAACCCACCCTAGTCCATTTTGCTCTTAACTTTTTGTTTTAGCTTTTATTTCTAGAGAAGGCCTTAGAATGAGGTAGAAAACTTTCTACTCCATACTACTTTGTAAGTAGAGAGACATGAAAATAAAAAAAGAGAATACAGATAAAAGTAATAGGCTTTTATTGTATTATTTTTAGTTTTGCATGGCTATTTTAGATTAATATTAAAATGATTAAACAAGAATAATCACATAATGCTAGCAGAATTTTAATCCTAAAGATGTTCACATACCCTTCTTATGCTTCAATTCTTATGAAAAGTCAAAATACTAAGTTTAATTATTAGTATTTTTATAGATGGAGGAATTGAGAAGCAAGTGACTTACTGCTAGATAAGTGTCATATTGTACATTGAGCCAAGGTCCTCAAACAAAAAAAATTTTGAATTTTCTCACAAATTAAAAGAAAAAAAAAGCCAAACAGTTGGTCAGATACTTCCGAAAGATCAGCAAAATTAGATGGAGGAACAATAAACATTTTATTCACCTACAGTGTCATCACAGGTCACTGAGGTCATTGCACTTTCCAAATGGCCCAGATAAATCTAAGGAATTGATAGTTTATTTAGTAAGGTTTTAACACTCCCAATCAAAATCATTTGCCTATACAGGATGAAAGTTCCCTCCATTAGTATCTTTACTTCTCACATTCATGAAATATTCTATTCTTAATTAGGCTTATTATTTAAAGTTTACTTACTTTTTTCCTATTTATTAAAAACATAAGAAGTAAAAGAACAAAATATGTTACTAAATCCAAGTCACCCTTAAATTTTTATCTTTTGTTAAATAAATATAAACAATGTGAAAGATTAATATTTATATCATGTTGCACATAGCAGTAGAACAATATGTGGTTTTTGCAAATATGAGTTTTCTGGCTGAATAATATTTCATTACTGGGTAGTACCATTATTTGGCGTTTAATTCTTATAAATTTTATTATAAAAATTAATTACAAAACTAATCAATCTTAGAAAAACCGAGAAAAATAAAGGTATAAAATTATAGCCCATGATTTACATGTTTTGCTCACTCTCGTTTTTTATGTCATGACTATATATTATCATTAAAGTACATGAGACTATATCTTGAATTTATTTTCATTAGCTGATCTTTAACTTATTTCTCATTAACTATGAATTTTTAAGAATTATAGTGGCTAGTTTGATGTAAATAACACAAGTTATTATCAAATAATATTTCTTCTTTTCTTTTAAAAATAAATAATTTTCTAGTAAATATAGCAAACATGTAGTCTTGACACTCATTAAGTCAAAAATTACTTCCTAACATTAGATACCTCCAAATAAAATTAGACAGTCTTTATTTTTACTTTGACATTGGTGAAAACAATGTAAATATTATTCTTAATTATCTGGGCTACATAGTTAGCTTATTTTCCCTTTAACTCTTAGGTCAAACATTTTATAAATCTTTCTGAAGCTGCTTCCTTTGAGAAGTGATCTGAAATCCACATCAGACATGGCAGTAATTCTGACAGAAAAAAGAAAAAGCCCCAACTTACCGTTTCTAAGGCATTTACACGGTCCTGCAAATAAAGCATAATAAATAATTATAAAACCAACATTACTAAAAATAATCACAAAATACTTAATTTTTAGATTTTCTATTTATCTTCTAATAGTAATGATTAATTTTAAGAAGGTAAAAAATGAAAACTTCCACGCAGGATGATCTCACTAAAGATAAAGTCATAAAAGAATCACTAGTACATTTTACTTCTTAGCTAATGTTAGGACTACACATTTAATTGAACAGTAAAAATGATAAATTCGAACATAGTTACTCAATTGAATATCTTTATACCTTTCCCATTAAAATTTATTTATCTATTTAAGAACCTATATGCTACAGATAGATTTGAATATATGAGACACAATTAGAAAATTGCTCTCAGTGTGGTACACAGCACAAAGTGTGATCAAATAAGGAGGTTAAAGTTCAGAATAAAAATCAACTTTATCAGGAGCCAGAAAGGCCGTTCGTGGGCAGTGAATCGGGGTCTTGTTGGGATGAGGAGGAAAGGGCCGTCTCCAACCCCATCCCGTGAGGCCCCACGTGTCTCATCACTGCGGGCCCAAACCCGACTGTCCAATGGCCTCTGGAGGATGGCAGCCACTGAGCCACCTAGGGGGAGTAGGCGGAGGGACAGCACCCTTTTCCCCCTGGAATAGCCCAGAGACAGTCACCTATGGCAGGGTCAGGACGCATTTCTGTCAAGAGCCACTGGGTTCCAAGATTTGTTTCTGAGACTCTGGTGGCCCAAAGACAGTAACCGAGACCCCAAGTCACCGCCCACAAACGGCCTTTCTGGCTCTTCCTGATCAAGCTACTTAATGGCTATGATCCAAGAGACTCAGGAACAAATCTCAGAACCCAGCAGGTTTTGGCAGAAGTCCCTCCAGATTTAAGTGTTAAAATTTTGGAATTTCAAATCGCGCGGCCACTACTACTGGTTATTCATAACCAGCATTAGAAAACAAATTGTCTACTGTTGCCTTTTCAGAATATCTGAGTGTTGGGGTAAAATCTCAAATAATAATGGTGGGTCTGGTGTTAAAATATTGAATGTAATCAAAGTAGAGAGCGAGCAATGTGGAAATCATCTGCTCCACAGGTAGGGGGAGGGTGTGGGAAGGGGGAATACTGGGGTTTTTGGTGATGGAGAATGGGCAGTGGTGAAGGTACGGGGGGTTTCTTTGTATGACTGAGACTTAAGCCCGAAAGCTTTGTAACTTCTATCACGATGATTCAATAAATATAATTATAAAAAAGGAAAAAAAAAGTAAGGTGGAGTTCATGCCCAATTCAATCAGCTAATCAGTGACTAAATAAATAGCAGTACTCATACATAATAAATAAATATATAAATAAAATAAAAATCAACTTTATTAATTAACCAGTATTAGGCAATTGAAACCAGGCAAGAAAACAAATCAAAATGTTATGGCACATATTAAATTCTGAACCTAGAAGGTGTTCACGGAAGAATTTACAGAAATACTTCTTTTAAAAGATTTGGGTCAGGGTCTGGGAGCTAGATGGAAGTGCTGGAGTATATGAATGGCATGCTTTTGTTCTGTAGCATTGCGATACCAGCACCATCCCCCTCAACACCACTGGACCAGGGATGGAACCATACAGTCCCACCATCAGGCTGGCACCAGGAGTGGCCCCCACTGAAACACTGAGAGTCCTCCCACACCAACAGATTTGGATCAGTGGCAATATTACTTATATTATTAAATGATTAAGGAAAAATACATGTATTTTCTTCCTAAGGTGAATAGCTAGTCTTTGGCAAATAAAAAAAAAAGCTATATTAAAGAGGGAATCTAAAGATTTTTGAAAAGAGAAGGCATTTGAGAAAGATAAGGGCTATTTATCCTTCTTTCTTGTGATTTTCAGATTTGGGGATCTGCAAAATCTCAATTTATTTTGTGTTTAATACAATCAACCACCTATCCTAAGAGGGAGGTGCTGGGGGGGGAGAGGGAAGTCTGAACTGGTGCCCAGTCTCTGAGCAGAAGTGGCATGTAGTCTGTCGAGGACCCACTCAGACTCCTGACACTGGGACAAATCAGGAACGGAAGTCGACCTCTCCTGCATTCTCCCAGCCCCACTTAACACAGGGGACACTTGGAGGACTTTGGCAACCCAAACCCCAATCTCTGGTCTGGGAAATTAAGTGGAGCAATTCTACCGTTTAAACAATTGACTCTGTGGGCATGAGTTAAATGAATATATTATGCAAAATCATCCCATAACAGACTGTTTTCAGCAATATAATCTGCTTAATTGTATTTTGTTGACATACTTGCAAGAACCTCACCCTCGCCCCCATAATTTTCATAAAATAACTGCTGTTTTGCTGGTGACTTGTATACTGTCACATTTGACTGCTTCATAATAAATACATATAAATGCCTCAAGGGGGCTTTGATCTGTTGTTACCAGGCAATTTATTCACAATGCTTCTCGGACAAAACCATTTAGTAATGCTTTATCATTCTTTGCAGATGGAACAGCCCTCATCAGAGACTGAAACTTACAGAGCCTTCGAGAGACAAAAACAGCTTTCTGGCAGTATAACATTTATATGAACCCTCTTCAAAGGTCCAAAATATTTACAATGACTATTTGGGCCTATGATTTCCCCATACCATGTATTTATGGGGTGGTATTATTCAGAATGAGTATATTTTTATATTCTGTCTGTCTTAATTTATATCTCCATGTTTGGCTAAGATAGTATATAATTTATGTATTAGTGTCTTCATTTGACTTAAATGTTTGCTAGAGAATTTTAAAAGAAATACAGACTGTCATGGACTGAATGTTTGTGTTCCTGAAAAATTCTTGGGTTAAATCCTAATTCCTGATCTGACAGAATTCAACAAGGGTACAGCCTTCCTGATGAGATTAGTGCCTTTATGGGATACAAAACACTGGCTTCTTTCCTAGCTTATGTGAGGGCAAAATACAAGATGAAAGTCATCTACAAGGCTTTGCCAAGAACTGAAACCACCTTACTTTGATCCCGGATTTCTTACCTTCCAGAACTGTGGGAAATACATGTTTACAGTTTAAGCCACTCGGTCTTTGGAAGTTTGTTACAGCAGTCCAAGCTAAGAGTCAGATCAGATCTATATGACTGAACAGCCTGCTCCCTCCAATTCTACTTTATTAAAATATAAGACAGTAATGACATACCATCTCACACCAGTGAGAATGGCACCTATCAAAAATAAAGAGAACAATTTGTGCTGGAAGGGATGTGATAAAAAAGAAACTTTCATTCGGTACTGGTGGGAATGTTGTCTGGTTCAACTCCTGTGGGAAACAGTATGGGGAGGTCTCAGTAAACTTAAAATTGAGCTACCCTATAGCTCAGCAATTCCACTTTTGGGAATCTACTTCCAGAACAGAAAAACATCCATTCAAAAGGAAGGACCATTATTCAATGCAGCACTCAGTACAAAAGTTAAGATTTGGAATGCAACAGACCAGTGGATCATGAAGATGTGGTATATATGCACAATGGAATACTACACAGCTGTTAGGAATAATTAAATCATGTAATTTGCTGCAACATGGATGAAAATGGAAGATATGTTAAATAAAGTAGCTAGGAGAAGGACAAATAAAGGGCGATATCATTTATATGTGATATTTAAGGTAAATGGATGAGGGAATACGATGGTTTAAAGGAGAGATGCTTTGACCAACCTTGACCCCAAAGTATAGGGAGGGTAAGGAAAGAAATAGTGTGAAGGGGAAAGGGAAAAAAGATAGGTGAGAAACAACGGGACCAGGAGTCAAGGAGCTCTGCTACATTGGTGGTGTTGAGGAATAATAGAGCTAAATGTCTAAACCACAAAGTCGACAACACTGAAATTGCAAGACCCAAATTTTAATAACCAGATTAAAAATGTGCCTGTCAAGATGGCGGGTTGGGCTGGGGTGGGGGTAGGGAGCCAAAGAGAGAGTCTGGGAATACTAGTGGTGGGAACCTGACACAGTGGCAGGACCAGTGATGGACATTGTGTGTCAAAAACCCAACTACAAATAATTTTATAATTCACGATGCTTTAATAAAATAAAATCTTGAGAAAAAAGAATCAATAAAGAATCTATTTCCATGTAATTTGTTTATATTATTCATCTATAACCTATTTTATTCCAAAATGATACTGAAGACAGCTTTTAATATAACATAGATAGCTAAGAAAATTAGAAACTAAGAAATTCAATTCACTAGTTTGCATTTCAATAACTCAATTTGCCAAGTAAAAACAACTAATAGGATACTAGTCACTGCTGTAATTTAGGAAGTTTGTCTTATTAATTGGTGAGACTTACATTTCAGAAAAGGCCCTATAGGATCTCTACTATTAAAAAAGAAATATTTTAGCTATCTATAATGAAGTAGTAAACTGCTTGGAGCTCTACAGATCCCTTTATTACACTGTCACAATAGGATACATATTGAATTTATGAGTGAACTTAGGCAAATTCATTACCATCAGTGGAGATGGGCAAATATTTGTAGGCTGTTAGAAAATGAGCACTAAATGGGTTGTTGGTACCAGAATTTAGGATCATTAACAATTTATTTGACTCATCTGGGCCAAATGAAGTAATGTCATAGAATTATCCAGTCCATCTAAGATAAGAATTAAGAGCTAATATAGTTCTAAATCATCAAAGTCATGTTGTCTCATGACCTTATCAAAGTAATACAGTATTTTCTAAGAATGTTTTAAATAGAAATATTAGTATACAACAAAGGACAATTGTAGTATAAAAATATGCCACTCACTCGCTAACCCTTTCCAAATTGTCTGGAAGTGATCTGGACAGAATTTTCAAACAGAAGACTACAGTGAGAGCTCACTCTCCTCACTGTTCCTCCTTCCAGGAAGGATAATCCAGTAGCCTCACCCAGAGTGTCACTGCTTGACTTATTTCATGTTCTTTTTTACTCTGCTTGGTTCACATTGCTGTTTTTCTGCTGCCTCTTACACGAAGGGTGTAAAATGAAATGTAAATGCATTTACATTTCCGTCACTATACTTTCACATGAAAATAAAGTTAATATACTTTCTCTCACCCTTACTAGTAAAATAAACTAAAAATAATTCCCAATATAGTTTGCCAAGCTTCAAAATATTAAAATTTAACAAAGGAAAAGTGCATTATTGATCATCACAAAAAGATCTCCTTTCTTATAAAGATAAAAAACAAAAAAAAGATTTCCTTTCTAATAATGAAAACAAAATGGAGAAAAATTACAACAATGTCAATCTTACACCATAACAGCTTTTCAACATAAACATATAAGTTGGCTATAAATATATCAAGTGACACAACAGTCTAGACATAAAATTATCTATTAAAGAACAGTTTTGTATACTTAAGAAAAACTTTGGGAGGCAGTCTTAGAGCAACTTTTAATGTTTTCCCAGTCAACCACCACTGGATTTTGCACTCATTGTACACCCATAGTCAATCTTTGGTAACTAACTCCACTAGCTGCTTATGTACCTGCGTTATTTTTGACCTGAAGTATATTAGTTTGACAAATAATGGGGTGGGGGAGGAAACATAGCAAGGCATCAATATTTTGTCTAAATGGTTTATTTTAATGACCAAACAACACACCCACTCCAATATTTCAACTTACCAAGAGAGCCAGTGTGAAAGGATGTGTCACTTCCTATGAAGAGGAAGGACCTAGTTAGTTCCTTTCATCATCTGCTCTTGATTTGGCCCATGGCAACTTACTGATAGAATCAGAAGCAGACACTACCATAGACCATTAGAGGAGCCAGTGTGTGTGTGACAATTCTGATCTGTTCTCTCATCCACTACCACTGTCAGTGGTGGAGAGACTCGGGAGCCTCGTTCATCTCTAGCTTTCTTGTGCTTCATTTTCAGATAGCTGCTTTGGTTTGTGGTCCTACATATCATGTCCACTCGTCTTTAGTTTGATCAGGAAAGTCTCAAGTGACAGTTAATATTGGAGCGGAATGGATATGAGTTTAAAGGTTGGGCAGGACAATTAGAGTTGAGAAAATAGACCAGGAGAAACATATGGAATAGGGATCCCTAATGTTTCAACAGATTTCACAGCAAAATACAGTCTGAGAGGCAAACTAAGATTTTTCTTCAAGTCCCTTTATTTATTACTTGTCAACTTCAAGCAAAACTACCAACAAAAACATTCAGATTCACTTTTTATATTCCAGACCACAGTGAAACCAAAACAATTTTTTTAAAATTTTAAGATAAATACTTTACAATTCTTTAAATCACAAATTCAATATAGTGCAGAGGTATGCATCTGTGTCTGAAAGAATACAGAACTACATTTTTGGGTAGCAGTGTAGCACTGTCCTCCCATTGTTCATTGATTTGCTCGAGTGGGCACCAGTAACATCTCCATTGTGAGACTTGTTCTTACTGTTTTTGGCATACCAAATACACCACGGGGAGCCTGCCAGGCTCTGCCAAGTGGGCAGGATATTCTCAGTAGCTTGCCGGGCTCTCAGAGAGGGGCGGGGGAATTGAACCTGGGTTGGCTATGTGCAAGACAAATACCCTACCCGCTGTTCTATTGATACAGCCCATTTTGGGGGAGAATTTGCTTAATTCTACAGTGAGAGTGTAGTAAAGGTAATAGAAAAATTCAGTGAATGGACACTGGAATGGAAAATAATTTGTAGCTAATATAAAGCTTCTAATGGTGATTGGGCAATGCAAGTGACAACCAATTTCAAAGAACTGATTATTTCCCCAAGAAGAAGCAGGGACAAGAGTTGAGGGAGAAAGTAAACATCCAGAAACCAGCATTCCATTTTTTCCCAAAGATTTACATTTTAAAAAATAAACTGTTACCTCCAGTTGTGAGGCTAGTCATATATCAACTGAATATGTTCTGTACTCCTACACAAATCAAGTGCAGCAGTGATTATGGCATAATTTATGATCAAGCATGTGTCATGCAGAACTTGTAGAAAACAATAGAGTATACTTTCTTTTTTTTTCTCTACTATATGATTCTGACTGTTACCAAGTCTCACTGGTCTAATGAGATCTCCTAAGGCTCACAGATCCTTTGCTTCTTCCAAGGGCACATACCTTCTGAGGCTATTTGACAAAGATAGTCACATGGTATCCCATATAATCATAGAGCCCTTGGACACAACCTCCTTCCCTCCAAATATTTGAATCAAGCACTTGACTGTGACTATTATGGTTGTCACACAGCTGTATCATTAAATGGTAAAGCAAGGAGTTCATCTGGGAAGTAAATTGCTTACCTTTGAGTACTTCTAACAATCCACATCCCATTATACACATATTTATTGACTCAATTTTTTTTTCAGGGATTCAAGTATATGAACTGTTACATTAGAGATTCTCCTTTTTCACTTTTCATTCCCAAGTTCTTTTCATGGGGTTCTAATTACGATTCCCTTTCACCATTTTTAATAAGGAGAAACTGCTGAGGAGGAAAAATCAAAACATACAAATAGATTTCAGAATAATCTATTGGGCTAATCACTGTCACTGTCATTGTCCTCCCGTTGTTCACCAATTTTCTCAAGCGGGCCCAGTAACGTCTCCATTGTGAGACTTTGTTGTTACTGTGTTTGGAATGCCAAATACGTCACGGGGAGCTTGCCAGGCTTTGCCATGTGGGCAAGATACTCTCAGTAGCTTGCTGGGCTCTCTGAGGGGGTGGAGGAATCGAACTTGGGTCAGCCATGTTGGCTGCATGCAAGTCAAATGCTCTACCCACTGTTCTATCGCTCCAGCCCACTTGACTGATATGAACTACATTTTACTTGCTTCCATAATCACTTTGACTAAGATTATAACTACTATGAATCTAGATTTCTTAATAAACAAATATAGGCAGTAAGGAAAAAGTTAGAGAACTTAAAGTATCTTACATGATCTGTACTCTGATAATCAGTGACGCACTCACTATTCATTATAGCAAGAAAAAAAATAGGGGGTAAAGACCCAATTATTTGTAGTTGTTCTTCTGAAAAGCAAACCTGAAGACTAACTTATCTGAATCTTCTAAAATAAAGCAAATTTTACTACTTCAAATATCCTAAAGATTCCTACCTATGAAATACTTAACTGCTTTTTCTTCAAATTGAGCTTCATTCTGATTTTTCATTGTGGTCTGACTAGCATCTTCCCAAGGTGGAATTTTAAACAGTAGCTTTGGCTGTTTAAGAGAGATGTGAGTAAAGAAAAAGAGTTGGAAAGCTCTATTGTCTTAATTGAAAGCACTAAGAATAATAACAGCTATAAAATACAATAACAGGATTGATATAATTTCAAATAAAGTTTCCAATCTCTAAATTTAGATAATATCATATTGTAGTTTAAAAATGTATGTCCACACACTGCCCTACCCAACTTCAAGTCACAGGTTTTAGGGAAATCACTGCTTGAAATTTGAAGCACATTACTCTTTCTTCAGGATTATAAACAGAGTGCTGACTTATTTCAACATACCTTTGATTATCTTACTTTCAAATTCAAATTCAAATCCTAAATCTTATCACTTATAAAACCAAGGAATAAATAAGATGGGATACTCCTGGGCAATTTAAACTATTAATAAAACTACTCTTCACACCTACAGCCTTACCTGTAGACAATGGGGTACCAATGTGTATGGTTTTCAAAATTCACAGACATCTGAATGTTCAAAACTATATTTTCTATTTTAAAAATTACTTAAAATTCATCATCAGAAATTCATTCTCTGAGGGATAATTTTTAAAGTTTCCTAAAACTATCCCCCAAACCCCTCATTCAAGTTCACCTCCTGAAAGCAAACTTTCTTGAGATAGAAAGCATTTCAACTGGATTATTGCAAGTCTTGGGTCAGCAAAGTAAGATAGTGTGTTAAACCCAAACCACTGCCTGTTTTTGTAGGCTCATAAGCTAAGAATAGGTTTCACAATCTTATTTCTTCTTATATTTTTTGCAAGTCAAGCATCCTACCCATTGTACTATCTGTCTGGCCCCTCTTCATACATTTTTTATTCCCTAAAAAAAAAATCAAAGGAAGAACAGTGTTTCATGACAAGATAAAATTACATAAAATTCTAATTTGTTTTTCATAATCTTTTATTGAACAACTCTCCCTTTTACACTCATTTATTCCTTTAATTCATTCTTTTATTCCTCCTTGCTAATATTTATTGAAGCAGACACTATGTAGGGCATTGGGTACACGGTTACCAACAAGGTAGCTTTATCACCAAATGAACAATTCATACTTTATAATTAAATTAACTGATTAGTTAAATCAATTAGTTCAAGGGACCATATGTGGTGTTTGAACTAGGATTGATAATGTGCAAGATAAGGACCTTAGCCCCTATACCATCTATGGCCCTATTTAATATATTTGTTTGTTTTTACTTACTATTTTAGGGCCCACCGTTGGCAGTGCTCAGGCTCAGGGGTCAGAACTGGGAGCACTTCGGAGAGCAAAGACAGTGCAGGGATTGAACCAGGCTTTATCACACACCATGCATGCACTTTATCCCTGTACACGGGCCCCTGAATAATTTTATTAGCATCAAATTCTACTTTTTGCATGTGGTGTAGTCAGGGAATACACTGGAAAACTGTTCTGTTGTTAAAGTTCTTTTCCAAAGTTACACATGCCAGAGCAGCATTTTGGGAACCTTATTTTGAACAGATGTCAGGTGACAGTGTAACAAAACACACACTGTACCGCAATAAAATTTAATGCTCCAATGAAATCACTATTGGTACTATTTTAGATTTATTTCTCTATATAATAAAAGGAGTTATATTTTGCCATATGCTTTTAAGTAAGTTGCAATGCCTTCTTTCTGGGTTTGACATTACGCCAGCTGAAGTACAAAAGTCAATACTGCTGGGGAATATCAGAAGAAAGGATAAAAGAAAGCAAAGAACTAAACTAAATTAGCTGTGATTTTGAGCAGCTAAATGGCACCTCTATTGTGCTTGTTCTCTGTCTTTTGTTTGTTTTAGAGCCAAACAGTGGTTTTATTTATTTATTCATTTATTTGTTTTCCATGGTCTTTTGGCCACAACCAGTGGAGCTCGGGGCTTACTGGGGCTGTGTGGTGTGGGGTCACTCCTGGAGGGGGCTCAGGAAGCCATATTTGGTGGCAAGCATTGCTACTACAGTTCCTATGTGTAAGCACACTAGCTGCTGTACTATCTCTCTGGCCAGGCACCTCTATTGTGTTGGTTTCTCATTTTTTTCTTTTTTTATTTTTGGGTCACACCTGGCGATGCACAGGGGTTACTCCTGGCTCTGCACCCAGGAATTACCCTTGGCAGTGCTCAGGGGACCATATGGGATGCTGGGAATTGAACCCGGGTTGGCCGCGTGCAAGGCAAGCACCCTGCCTGCTGTGCTATTGCTTCAGCCCCTTTCCCATTTCCTATACATCCTGGCTAAAGGACTTCAGATTCACCACTGAGCTTGTCAAAACCTCTCCCGTGGAATTGACCCCTCTTTCACTCATGATAAATTTATTGGAATTTTTTTTCCTAACAGTGAAAAGAGAGCTAGAGATCTGAACTGCAAAAAGCAGAAAGTATTAAAGGCTTAGAGTGTCCAATAAGCAATAGTTTTTTATTTTCTTTTATAAGTGCAAAAATATTGTTAACAGACATTAAATGTTATTTATTATCATGCTAATAAGCCTTTCACACTTTTAAAAGTAAAATGTTAAACTTCCAACAAATTAAATTTTTAGGATTCTAAATTTAATACAATTACTCTTCTAAAGGTAGTATTCTTCAGAAGCAAATACATAAAACCAAAATAATTCTGATTATGATGAAAAGATAAACATATAAGATGCTTATTAGTTATTTTTTCAGCTTACTTCGGTTTTATCACTTTTTCCCCAATTTAAAATTTATGCAAATTGTTTTCAATGTTGCTTTTAATTTTTGCCAGAATATTTTGAACCTGGTTTAAAACTGAAATTGAAGAAGCCTGAGGAGGGCTTTAATAACAACTTTCTTCAGTCTGTTTATTTAAAACTTGATGACTAAGCAAAAAGGTACGAAATGGAAAAAGAAAAATGATCCTTTCTCCTTCCTAGAAGTGTTCAGGATTACTGGATTATTCATAATCAAGTACCAGAAATTAAAATTTTTGTTCACATGTAAATGGCTCTCTCTCATTTTAAAACTGTATAAAAACTACCTGAATTTCATTATTATTGTTATTTACTTTTATTATTGTTATTACTATTAATGTCTCCAGTAAGGCCTTCATACTTAATGCACATTCTAAAAATTATTTAGTTTCCTATTTTAGGAGGTAGCAAGTGAATATTTTGCCAAACTAAGTGCTTAATTATTATGTTTGCTAAAGAATCATTCTTATATGAAAAAAGAAATTACAAGAAAGTCAGGAACAAAAATATACAAGTTCTGTTCTTTGCACGTTCATGAGGCATTTCAGAGTACTTGTATAGAAGTCAGACAGATTCCAGCACAGGTGCAAACCCTGTCTCCTACTAGCTGAGCAAGCTATATACATTTGCTTCTGTATCTGTACAATGGAAAAATACCTACTTTAAGAATTGTTGTAAAGAACAAATGATAATATTTATATTTTAACACAAAATGAACCACAAAAGTAATTCAGGGAAGTATTAATATAAATCTTTAACAAGTCAGATGGTGATTTTATTTTCTACTTTGATACATAGACCGTTGCTCTTTGATATCAATTTATTATAATCTTAATGGGAATTAACAACTGTTAAACAAGTATTCTTTAATATACTGAAACATAGTAATTTCCAAGATCCCAGGCAAGGAAACTACTCTGAGATTTTGGCTTATATTCTGGAAAATGAACCAGAGATGGAGATCGGAGATAACTTTCAAAGTGAGAGCTATAAGCTATTTCCAGTAATGTCCAATTAATGCTTAGCAACTCAGTTTTGGTTTATGAGTCCATCCAGACTGTTCAACTAAAAATGTATTTCTGCTGAACATTTGTTTCTAAATCTGTTGTACACTAGTCTTTACCCAAAGGGTTACTTTCTGTCACTGTTAACTATGGAAGGAAGACAAGAGGAGATGGAAGACAAAATGGAGACCATGGTATATTTAAATAGAATGTTGTGCCCCATTAAAAATCACAAATCAAAATCCTAAACCCCAAATGATAATATTAGGAGGTGGGGATATATGGAATATTTCTATTATGAGGGCAGGGCTCTCATGAACAGGATAGTGTCCTAATTAACGAAAGAGACTTCACAGCACTTTCTGCTTCCAGTTTTTAAGAACCTGGCAGTAGTCTCTCATAAGACACTGAATTTGTTTTGAGCTTCAACCTCCCAACTTCCAGAATTGGGAGAACTAAATGTTCCATGTTTAAACCAGTTCTCATATTCTGGTTCCAGCAGCCTGAATAGACAAGACACACTGGTTATCTGTCCCAAGTTAGAGGTGATGAGATGGGATGAGTGATGTGATGAGAAGAGGAAATATAATGGGCAATGGTGTTCAAGTAATTAGAACCTGTCTGGTTTTGTCACACTCTACTTTTATAACTCAGGAGCCTATGAAGACCAGATGTCTATATCTCTTTAAACTCTGTAGCCCAAATGAAGTGGTTGTGAATTATAAGGGACGGTTGAGACTCTGGAGAGATGACACATCTCCCCAACAAACTCAACACTGCAAAACATCACAATGTGTATAAATGGTTCCCATTTTCCACAAGAGAACATACACTGCTGTTTGCATTAGCTGGAGTGCCTATGGAAGCCCAAAGCTCGATGCCAATAAAGGTACTAAGAATTGCTTTTCATGAAATCAGCTCCCCATGGTGTACCCAATATGCCAAATACCAGTAACAATGATGGGTCTCATTCTCCTAACCCTGAAAGAGCCTTGAGTATGGCACTTTTTAAAATCTCAGGGCTAGGGCCAAGGAGACGTTACTGGTGCCTGTTTGAGGCAATAGATGAACAACAGGATGATCGTGATCGTGATCATGAAATCAGCTGCAAAGAGGATAGTGTTTGGAGACACAAAATAATTTCTTCCCTTGTGGGAGCAATTTACAAAATTTTTAAGGACACTCATTATCGAATTATTAAAAAAGCTTTTTGTCACAGGGAAAAATCTGGGAATTTGAGTTTAAAGACTGTACTTGTCTTTGTTGTTTTTGCT